TATCCACATTCACATTTTCAATCACACCTTTGCCTTTTCTTGGGCAAATAAGCCCTATTTCGTCTAAGGTGATAAATGACCGTTAGAAGAATTTTCCCACAAGGATATGATTAGAGCTGACTTTTCCCAAATTTTTTTCTCATCCAGACACCATTGGACTGCAGTTTCGGTCTCGCATCGGTCTTATCAACACCTCCAGCGGGAATCGAACCGTAAAAGTGCAAATATACGTTTGCTTATCAAAAAAATTCCAACAAAAAATATGATATGGCAAAAGGCCTGGCCTTCCTTGAAATTCACATCTGCCCTGTGACCCAAGGGAGGGCACTAGTGAAAATGTGGCCAAATGCTTAACGTGTCAAAACTCACATTCTGCATTTTCATGGTTCGACTCCCGCTGGGAATGATGATGAGACCGATGCGAGGTCGAAACTGCAGTCCACTCCTGCCTGGATGAGAAAGACTTTTGTGAAAGCAAGGCATTGTGAAATTAAATGGAAACGTCAGCTCAACTCATATGATTGTGGGAAAATTGTTCATCTACCAGTCCTTCATCACCTTACACGAAATTGGGTGAATACATCTCATACTCCTGATTTACTGGTAGTCTCGAAACTCCACTTAAATACGACAAATAAACTTTCAAAGCCCTAAACTGACATTATGCTACGGTGCGACAACGGAAATTCTTAACCGTTGGTTTCGTAGCCACAATTGCACAAATGCATACGCATCCAAACGTACGTCCACATGCTCACATTAACATATATACATACATACATATATGCACATACACATACACATATGTATACAACTACATATGCACACATGTGCATATATATTATCAAGAATATTTTGGCTGTGAGTCTATCTAGAATGTCTTCACTTAATGGTGGCCTGAAGAATTTGTAAGTATGCGATCCAGTTGTGAGAGTACCTCGTAGCCAGTTTTCACCGGTACCAAACGATGGACCACGTTGAGCCAAACTACGGCAAAGCAACTGGCATCTGCCATTATCGTTCGATGCGATCGACAAGCACGGATCTCTTTAGCAAACTCACTTTTGCAATGAATTGACTTGATCACCTCAACCGGATCCACGGTCATGGGCTCTAGGGGTGCAGTCGATGAGTTCGACTCCGGACTCCGGGGACGCCACGAAGACGAGTCCTGCGGAACAGCGGCAACTTTGCCCTGAGGGAAGAGAATGTAAACGTGTCCACCGGAGGGGGATTGAGTGGGCTTCGCTATGAGTCATGACTGCATATCCCAATGATCGGCTACCAGCTCAACTGACGGAGTGTGAAGGGGTTGGGTTGGGCGAAAACCAGTGGCAACAGGAGACGCCAACAGGAGTATAGGAACAAGCAGAGTTCAGAGCCCAAATCGGAGGCTTCAGGCCCGACTAAATTCTGTTGGGGCGACCTCAAGTTGTCTGAGGACAGGACATTTCACGACTTAAACGACATTTGGATACAGGTTTCATTGAGACTCAACCGCATTCGGTCTACTTGTTCGGCTATATTCACCAGAGTATGAGACGCTCTGATTCTGAGCTCTTGGTTTGGTCGCCTGTACCCTTCGTCCGAAGGGTTGTTGGAGATTCAGCTAACCATGAATGTGCTCACTGACCCAATATGCCGTTCTAGCCCCCAAGGTGGACGCATGGCCGTCTAGATTGGCAAACAAACTCGCCAAATTGGAGGATAATTTGCCGTCAAAAGCATGATTTAATTGAGATGATAGAAAGGGGACCTTTGGCGGCAAGCCCCAGATGATATAAAGTATGAAGAGAAGAAAGGCACCTATCCTACCATCAAGGTTTTTTTGTCCCAGCCGGAGGGAACACTACAAATAGGAAATAGCTGAATTGAAAATGGCTTTAAAATACACTTTTTACGTTGAAATATGATAATTTCTTGGAAAGCAACGAGACACGAGGTAGTGTACAGCATTTGATGCGCTGATTTTCAATTAAGCTCCAAATGGATAAACCGGTTTTCGAGCAACCCTTTAGTGCAAATTGGTCTCACCGGAAGTCGAAGGTCGGTTGTCTTGAAGTTGAGATTGTAGATTTGTGCGAACAATTTCTGCAACCACGATTAATCCTTGTCGAGCTTTCGTGCGTCATGTGACGGACCTCGTCATAGCAGGACACCATGTTCTAGAATAGTTTGACCGAACCACGAAGACTGCAAACTTGTCTACCTCTAAGTTCGTCGACTTAATTGAACAACCCATGATTTGGTTAGATACCCTCTTTCCTTCAGACAAGCTTGTGTGCGATAAGCCATTCGATGTTTGATCCCCCCAGAAGCAGACAGCAGTCGTCTGCTGATCTACTCTCGTTTGGGTCGAGTGGGACCTTCTAGTCGACCAACTCCACTAGACATCCTCCCTCACTTTCGCTGTACACAGGATCAGGCCTCGCCCATTATTTGGTTTCAATGCCTATCCTCACCTCGAAAATAGTCAACCTCGTCGACTTTACTCACCTCATCAACAGTCCCATCTGCCTTGTTGCCAACTGGCACCCGCGTCTGAAAGCAGATTGGTTTCGAAACCAAATGGCTAGACCGACATCGGAGTCGTTGCTTTGCCTAGATTGCAGATCCTCTGAAGACTCGATCGCCATTTTGATGAAGCACAATGATGCTGAGAAGATCACAGGTCATGCGATAAGTCGACAAACTTTGCATATCTCCATCATGTCAGTCGGGCTGTTTATGGTGTGAGTTTGATGGGGAAAAAGTCAAGTGTGGATTTATCATTTTATGCAGGAAATCGACAGGAGCCACAACATCAGATAATTCACCATGGGCAACAAAGTAGACTAGCCTACAGCTGGTCACTATTCTTGACTGTTGCTGTATACCGTTTTCTATATAAAATAGGAGGAGAAACTTGTTCTCGAGGGAGCTATTGGTGTCGCAACGGTGATTTGACCTTCATTTTGAGCAAATATGTCTGAGGAAAATCGTCTTGAGCCAATCTGACCGAAAGACGAATGCGGGTTCCTCTTGACCTGCTGTCATTTGGTCTCCCTTAAGCAGACTTTGCTTTGCTGTAGTTTGGTCTTGTAATGAAGATCGTGGCGACGCAACCCTCGAGGTACCCTCTGGTTATGGCATAACGAGCACATCAGAACTGGAACACATTCTTGTAACCACTTAAAATTAGCAAGTAAAAAGTAAATAAATAAATAAATAAAAATATATATATATACTGTTCACCAGCTGCAGAAAAATTTGGTTTAATGGTGCTTTCGCCAATATGTGCGTTTACAGACTTTTCTAGTTCAATTCTTTGGCAAGTGGATCAGGTGTTGATAGTTTCGGCTGAAAATGTACTTATTCTGATTTAGTAGGTTAAATATTGTTGTTTTTTCTCGTATTTTGATTAGAACCAATTCTTCAATTGACTGGCATTTGATCAAGTTAACTTTTTTACATTGGTCAATATGTTTAAGAGCTTAAGGGAGAGAATATATAAAAATTTATAAGACCTGTCACGATAAGAAATAAGGTAATTTGTCTGTTAATCTAAGCTTAAAGAAACTAGGATAGGAGAAAGCAAACGGTACTCTGCTATTCGTGCCTTAAGTAGGGCCATTAATTTATCCAATCGAACTTGGGATTTTATTATGCTATTGCAATTTTCACATTCTCAAATGGGGGGAACCATTCGCTTGTACTATTCATTGAATTATGTCCTCGTTTGAGAGGAGTATAGCTGCAAAGAAGTTAGTTCCCGAGAACTGACTCAACCTGGGCGTCCTGGCAATACTTGGTTGGAAAAGACCTCGTCTTCCGAGGGGATATGATTAATTATCTCTTAATCACACGATTTTACTCAAAATGAAAGCCAAGCATGCATCCGAATCACGAAACGATGCAGGTCAAAAAATAAACTACAATAGAAAATTTCCATTCTACCTAAAGACCCAGTGACATGGTGAGGAAATGTCAGCTTTACGAGCATTATTGCCATCGCTGCAAGACAAAAGGATTCCGAGACATTTTAATCTTCAACGGCCAGCATGTTTTTTTGTTACGAGAATTTTCATTTCGTATGAAAATGTATGAAGGAGAGAATCGTAGGTCAATCTCACCAGAAGACGCCAGCTGATTCGCGTTGCACTGCAGCCATTTTGGCTGTAATGAGATAACTTCCTGCGTTTCGAGGGAAGACAGGGAAAGCCTTCTTTTGTCATGCCACATGACGAGCATCTTTACAGCTGGGACTCCTTTTCGCAAAAGTCAAGAAGCTTTTAGTAATATGAGATGTATTTACACAATTTCGTTTAAGGTGATGAAGGACGGGTAGAAGAAGAATTTTCCCAGTCCTTCATCACCTTGAACGAAATTGGGTGAATGCATCTTATACTACTGATTTACTGGTAGTCACGAAAACAATACTTATTTCGAAAAATGAAGTATAGTAGTCGATTGTTGTAGCAAAAATACGTTTGCTTCATCGATAATCCCATCAAAATAAGAATATAATATGGCAAAATGGCCTTGCCTTCCTTGAAAATTCACATTTGCCCTGTGACCCAAAAGGTGT